CAGCTCAGAAACGGAGGTGCAACCGTGTTTCGGAGTGGCGTATAGGTCGTGGCGTGGGCATGAAAGGTGGGAACAGGCTTATGGGGGACAAGGGTCTGAACGGGCGATTTGTGTTTATATCCATGATCGCTATATTTTGCCAGGGAAGCTATGGTATCAAATGCATGGGTAGATGAAAAACGATTGAACGAATGGACATGACAGTACGATACTTTGATGTTCAGCTAAGAGTTAGACCTTAATACCATTAATGCGCTGTTAGTTTTGCGCGCATGCACGATGCACGTCCGCTTAGTATTAAACTGTAAGTTCTATGGAGCCAGCGTTGCCTTCTGCTTGAAGTGGCTCCTTGAACTCGTTCGCTTGTGTCATTGAATTGTGCCTGAACCATTCACCGTGCCTGACTCGTAGCACTGTGCAACTAGCGAAACGCAACGGGTCCAATGATGATCAGAGACCTCATTATTCAACGGCCCGTGTTAACTGGTTAAAATGAGCTTTGTGACACTTTTTAAGAAGACTTTAAATACATGAGCCCTCAATGTGGTCAATGCGCTGCGCATAGCGACGCTGTGCGCACTTCACAAGCCCCAGCATCCAAAAGTTACCCGGCTGCGGGGCTCCACAGCATCCGAAACATGCGCCGCCTCTCACGGTGTTCTCCACGCTGAAATCCACGATACGAACACCGGCTGTCCCGCCGTCGTCCTCCCCCACCTCCCGCCATGGTCGTTGTGGTTATTGCCACTATCTGTGCGCTGGCATGGTTCGTTGATGCTCAACTCTCCCCAAAATGCCTCCCAAAATTAACGTTTCCGTGGCAAACTTCAACTTATTGACAACCTTGAGAGCTAATTTTTGTTGCCTGTGTAGGATGTGCTACCGCGTGTCGGCCCTCCTTAATATCCCCATACCTACGCTGGTGAAGCTACTAGGTCTTGATCTTCCAGCTCCCCCGCGAGTGTCGCTGCATGGCGTGTCGTCGGATACTATTACATTGCACTGGTCGTTACCAGAGAAGCCTGGGACGGTCTCCAAACATATCATACAGATAAATGGGGTCAATGGTGTGCTTTTGTTTCCTTTATCCCTTCTGTGCGGCTCCATCGGGGGTGTGTGAGGAGTCATGGCAGCTGGCTGACAACATCTACCACCACAGTCGGCGAAAGCGAAAAACGAGGAGAAACGAGTGTCACTGTCACTGGCCTAAACGCAGATCAACGATATAACGTCCGTGTAATCGCTGCGAACTCCCAGAATTTTCAGGCGCCCGGCCAACTTATCCGACTACGAACGCGGCGGAAATCGCAATGCTCAAATACTGGGGCTACGACACGTGGCGAATCGTCGGATGATGCAGCATTACCGGCCGTGGTGTCGACTTTGGATGTACCGCCGTCGCCTCAGCAGCAAGGAAGGGGGCATGGAGGGTCCAAAAAATCAGCCAAGGATCGAAGGAACTCGCCGGCGACAATCGAACAGAGTAATACTCCTGGAAAAAGCAAAGCCGAAGAGCAACACACTGTTGAGTCGTTAACGAAAGACTTGGATCGCGTGCGGAACGACATACAGGAGACGGAGGCGCAGTTGGCAGTTGCGGAGGAGGAGTTCAAGAATACGGAGGCGGTGTTAAGGTCAGAGTTGGATGCCTTAAAGGAAAAGAAAAACGAAGAGGATGCCGCCCGGCAACGGATACGCGCGGAAATGAAGACGTTAGAAGAGGCGCGGCGGACGGCAGAAGCTGTGAGATCGCGCACTGAAAAGGCGCTCAAGGCGAAACAGTATGAGATCAAGAAGATGCAGGACGATATAGCGCGATGGGAGGCCGAGAGGATGGTGGCTTTGGAGAAGGTGCAAGAATTGAAAACCGCTGCGCAGGAGTCCAAAGAAAATGCTGCAATGACGGAAAAAGAGCTTGGTAGCGATATCCGAGAAACCCATTCTCAGATATGCACTATGGAGGAGGAGATTCGCTCTTTAGTAGGAATAATCAAGGGCTTGGAGAACGAAAAGGAGAAGATTAAGTCGGCGGAGGAACAGGAGTCGCTGAAAGCATGGGAAGACAATGAGAGTGAGCGTCAGTGGAAAGAAAGGCAGCACAATCTGGAGCTCCGTTACATGTCACTGTATCAGGCGGTTCAGGCGGTAAGTGCAGCAGTTTTCGTGGATGGGTGGTTGCTAACCGTTATCAGGCTGAACTTGAGTATCGCAAGTCGTATGAAGCGTTACAAGCTCATCAAGGCCGAAGAGAAAGTGGTTCCGGCGCGGATTCTATCAAGAAGCAAAAGACCAGGCGAAGCCGTACGCGCAAAAATCGGACTACAATGGCCGAATTGCCTACCCAAGAACCCCGTTTCACGGATTCATACGGAATTAATGGCGGCTTGCCTTACCAACAAATCAGTCCCACATTCGGAAACACCGCTCCAGGGCCTTTTTTCAATTATGCGGTCACCTCACCCACTGAAATTTCCGACCCAGATACGGGACCTATAATGGATAGCTTTCCCGGTGGTGTCCCCATGAGCCCTACTGCGGATGCTCTGTTGCCTTCAAACCTTTTTGCATACGAGGACAGTCCTCCCAGCCCGAAGCCTTCCCTAGGTTTTCTCGATGACCTTCATTCTCGTAACGGAGCTCCAAGCTATCGAGGGCCACATTCACCAATTTCGGAATCCGTGTCAGCTTCCACGTCTCCGAGAAGCAGTCTCAATCACATACCCCTCTTCAACTTACCGTCGTCCACTCCCATTAGCCCTGAACAGCAGTCCGTGAACTTGTCACCGATTGGGAGCAATCGACCAGGAAGCAGTTCGGCCATGTCGCACGGCACAGAAAATACACCTCCACATCTCAATGGAAGTCGGCGGTTTGTTCGATTATTCTCAAATTCTTTGACACCATTCACGCGCCAGAGGGGTAAAACTCTTCCGATGGATGGAAATCTGAACGGACTACCACTTATTGGGTCTTTAAAACCGAGCGAGCATCACTCCTTCCCCAGGAATGATCCTCCCGGACTTGATCCTATTGGAACCCGTCGCCGGAGTGGTTCGTATGGCTCTTGGAACGGCAACGGCGACATGTCACATGACTCTGCTTGGGGTAGATCCCAAGTTTCTCTTAGTCGCGCCGATTCGACCGCTTCTCGCCGTTCTGCAACTTTGAACCAGTTCAACCCTTCTTTTGACCCAATCGACCCTCAGCGGCTATTTGATCCCAATCCTACCTCTCCCAGGCCATCATCAATCTCTTCCTTTGATCAACACTTTCCAGCCCCTTCGTCGGACGCATCAGCAGCTTTTGGATGGCCTGCTGCGCCTCCAGGTTTGTTCAACACCCACTGGGCCAGCCGTTTCACTCGCTCACGCCCCGTATCGCGCCCGATCTCTCCAAATGCCACAGCCAACGCTTCTACCACTTCTCTTTCTCTGCTTCCCAGCCAAAATCATCCGCTGCCAAACACCACCGCCCCGCCGCCCGGCCATACCTTTTTCTCCCCAGCCCCACGCCTCAACCCAGCTGCCCCTACCTTCCAAGTCCGCGGTGGCGGCGCTGGTGATGCATCCATGTATGACGGCAACGACGCGCTCAGCATCAAAACAGACATATCGGGGACAACAGTCTCTACCACTGACACAGGCACAAGTCTCGAAATGGTGGCGACTAAGGAAAGTATCCTTTCCCGCTTCTCAGCTCTGAGTCGCAAAAGTAGCACGGGGAAATTCAACATGACTTGGAACTCCAGCAAGAAGGAGAAAGACGGAAACATGGATAAGGAGAGGGAGAAGGACAAGAAAGGAAAAGCATTGAAAGAGGAAGATGAGTCTACCGGAAATCATAATCACCATGCACACCCAGGATTCATATCAGTTGATTCCAGCGCCACTGTTACCCCGGCGACTCCTACCCCCAACTCGTCCGGCCGCCATCTCTGGCAGCCGTGGAAGAAATTGGACACCCCCGTTGAGGCTGGCGAAGATGGTAACAGCAGTACCACCGTCGGCAAGGAAAAAGACCCCTTCCCATCGTTCACTACCACCAGCGCCGCCAACAGCGAAACCACCACCACGGCCACGAAAACCAAAGACGCCTCCAAACCCTCCAAAGACAAGAAAAAAGATAAGACCTCCAAAACCAAGGCGAAAGCAAAAGATCATCCTTCTCCTCTCCCCTCTGCTTCCGACCCCACTGTTCCCACCATCACCACCAACACCTACGACGACCACCACCATGACGATCTCAAGGAAAGTAGCCCGTGGATTCAGAGCGCTGGGTTTTTCGGCACTATCGGCCGCAGGAAGGAGAAGGAGAAAGATAAACACCAGAACAAACCCGTGGATGAGGATGCTGCCGTCGATAGTGAGGATGGAGTTCATACGCCTGTCGCGGAGAATGCGGAGCGGAGAACAGGGTTGGGGATTTTTAGGAGGAAGGAGAGGGAGGAGAAGGGGGCTGCGAAGGAGGAGGTTGGTGGGGAGAGTGTGTGATGTCTGTATGTGTGTGGCGAGAGGACTGTAGATGAAAGTGTAAAATGTTACGCTGAAGATATGGATGGATGGGACGTGAGATGAGAGAAGAGGAGGGATATCATAATCATCATCATTGTCATCATCATCGTTATATCATTGATCACATTTAGGCTTAGGTGCAAACATTATATCATTTGCTTTTTTGTTTCTGTCGTTTTTGTTTTGCTGTTTTCTCTTGATTTGGAGTGTAGTGTACATATCATGGACGCATGTCTCCTCCGCATAGGTAGAAAATGGAATACATGACCTCTTCGTGGGTAGGTGTCAAAATTCTTGTTCGGATGCCAAAATTCATCAGCAATCACCAATCATCACACACCACTTGCTCCTGTGCTCTGCCCCCACCTGCACCAACCCACATCTTCATCTCCGTGCAACACATCCAGTTGCACAAGCCCCTCTCATCACCTCCACCGCGCATAAAGTACCCTCCACCGGAAACACAATCTAGGATAAATAAAAATATATTGCCTTGAGTGAGGTTCGAACTCACGCATCCTGAGATAGTGGTTCTCAATTCTGGGGGTACCAGAAACTTAAGACCACCGCCTTAAACCACTCGGCCATCAAGGCATTGAGATTTGATGGTTGTGAAAGTAGTTGTTATTGTTGTACCTTTTTGTTAAACAGTATTGCGTACTTTCAGGCAGAAGTGTCAGCATGGTCATAGATGGCCACGAGCTCGAAAGCCACTCTGTACTGTCCGGGGTTCCCCAAGGGTCTCCAGTCTCCCCCATACTCTTTGCCATATACCTGAGTGGCGTATTCAAGGAGG